TTGTATATAGATAAGGGACAGAAATAGATCTAAAATATAAATATAGATATAATATTTAAATAACAATTGAACGTTTATATTTAGTATTTCCCTCTAAATGTAAGAAAAAAGGCATTAAATGTGAAGAATGTGCACAAATATTATTTTTTTCTCTTTGAATTTTACATCCGGCAACCCAGAGTTGAGCTGAGCTTAGTAAACCAAGTGTGTAAAAACAGTGTGGTGACTGGGAAATGACCCACACTGTGTTATTAGTCAACACAACGGAGATAACTTTTTTATTTGCATTATTTTAATGAATGTTTGTGCATTTATAGCTGTGTAACTTTTATGCGCTTATGGTAAATATACATAAAACAGCAGGCAGATACATATATTTTTAGGTTATGGTAGGTTTTTCTTTTTTTTTTTTACTTTTCTTTTCCCCTGTTCTTGAACGTTTACTCTGAACAACAACCTTTGTACTTTTCTTCCTCTACAGGCAAAGTGTACGTTCACTGCAGAGAAGGATATAGCCGATCGCCTACTTTAGTCATCGCTTACTTGATGCTACGCCAAAAAATGGACGTCTACACGGCTCTGGCCATGGTGCGACATAAAAGAGAGATTGGTCCAAATGAYGGCTTCCTTAGACAACTCTGTCAGCTAAACCAGAAACTGGCTGCTGAAGGGAACCTGTGGATCAAATGATGGCCTCTAAGAAGTACAGTATATTGTAAGAAAACAAAAGTATAATTAAAGTGAGTTGGCTTACTTTTTTACTTGCTATAAAGCTTGAATAGGTCTGTGAACCGTAAGTTCTGTTAATCAGCTGAGTGACAAAGTTGRTACCACTGCTTAGTGCACTGTAGGCAAACGATGTAATGCATGTGTATGTAATGAGAGTACGTTTTTAACATAATGAGTATTTAATATGTGTAGAAAACACCTTCAATGCATAATTAAGAATATTAATATTTTGTACTCCGTGTTTATATTACAGATACTGTATAAAACAGAACATGGATCTAGCAGGATGTAATTTGTAGAGAATTTGCAGCTTGTTGAAGTCAGGTTCAGCTGTGAACCATTCTAATGGTAAAATTTTTATAAACCAACACAGTTCATCTGGATTATTTCTAAAATTAGGGAAAATAAGAATTTGTTGCATAAAAACAAAGTTCAATCACTTTAAAAATTAGATCTCATAAAATTAGGCTGAATATCCTGCAGACGTGCAGCTATGTCAAGCTAGGTTTAAGTAACCTCTCTATTTCTCTCAGTTCCTCTTGTTTAAAGTTGTTCTTTTAATTACGTTTGGGTTTTGTAGATGTATATTTCATATTTTTTTAGATAAATGTTGAACCTTGAACACTGTGGTCCTGAGGAGTTTTTTTCATCTGGAAACAGATGGAGGGGGATTTTTTGGAGGGTCAAACTATGGCTTTGTGGAAACTGATGTTTAGAAACTTACATGTGGAAATGAAGCATTTTATAAAGTTGACTAATGGCCCTGGACTTATTTGGCAGAAGGAGGGAGTAGGCTTTCAGGATTTCAGAGTACCAGTCTATTCCTCGTTTGGGGCTTTTACAATTGACATTGACAATAAAATAAATCCGGTAAAAAAAAAAAAAAAGAAGATTTCCTCACATGCAATTTTTTCCCTTTTTTTCTGACGTAAGAATTTTACAGGATTGCAAAACTAAATGTACAAGCACAAAACACAATTTGCAAATGCAAATATATATGACTGGCATTTTGCCCATATTTTTTCATCTTCTTCTACTTTGTGATGCACAAAAACATGTTTGTGTGAGCTGGTATTGGACTTTGTATTGCATATACTATACTACACCATAATTAAGGTTCCTCAACTCTGAGGAGTGTTAAGTAGCTATGGTACTGTAAGTATGGTGTTAATTATGGTACAAAGTCCAAATAAAATAAATGTCAGTGTACAGGCCCTGATACAGAACATACAAATGAGACAACATTTTAACTGTTTTTTAAAGGGGCAAAATCATGTAAAATCAACTTTTGAGTTTTATATCATGTTATATCCTCTTATCAAAAATATGCTCAAAGTCTTTCTTTGACTCATTCATGCATTTTTGAGAAATCCTGTAGCAGTGGTGGGCACCAGTCCGCTAAAGCGCAAATCCGCTAATTGCGGACCTAAATATTTCATTTGCGCTTTAGCAGTCTTAATAAATTTTATAATTCATAAGTGAATTTGCGCTTTCTAAAATTAAAATGCAGTACCACTAATTAAATTATCTACCAGTCATCATTATCTTGAACAGCGAAATGTATGGCTGTCAATGAATCACAACACACGTGATTCATTGACAGGTGTACACAGTTGTTGGAAACATACATCTTTGCTGACAGTTGCTCTTGGTTCATCTCCCACAATGCTTTGTGTCTGCTTATGTAGCAGGAAGGCAATGGCTGTGTCCAAAATGACAGGCCGGGTCCTCCGGAGGACCCAGACTACCCGGTCGAGGTGGGCCGGGTCCTTGGTAGACCGGGAAGACCGGAAAAAAAGAGGCAGTGAATTTGGACGGTCTAGCCTCCCCTCCACCCCGGCGTGCGTCATGTCACCCAGCAACAATGATGACGCTAAACAGAAGCAAAAATAGATCAAAATTAGAAAAATATCAATATATTAGCATTATTAATGTCACAAAACAATAAAATTAACTTAAAGTTAACATTTGTGTTACGGTTGAGCTTAATTGGTTTGAACCCCAGGATGCAAGACTGAGTGAGGGTGGCAAAAAAGGTTTATTAAAGCAACAAAAACAAAAGTGCTGACGGRGCAGCAAACAAGATTCTTGGCTTGGCACGAGACAACAGTAAACAGAGAACAAAGATCTGACAAAGACTGAGGAAAAACGACAGAATATAAAAGAAGAACTAATGAGGTAAAACAAGAAAGACCTGGGGAAGAAACATGAGGATCAGGTGTGAGTGGGCGGGGCTAGAGCAAAGGCAGTCAGGAAGAAGAAAACAGGAGGAAAAGACAGAAACAGAATAAATCATAAGCACAGACACAAATCATGACATAGCCCCCCCCCCAATAAGGGATGGCTCCTGACGTCCCACAACAAAAACAGACAAAAGCATGGGAGGGAGGTGGGGGGGTACAAACAGCAATGACAGGATGAGGGTTAAAGACAACAAGGAACACAAGACACAAGACAAATGAAGCAACAAGAACAAACAAAAACCTGACAGGGAACCCCTGGGAGAAAAAACAAAACTAGAAAAAGGTCAATGATGGCCCTAGGCACATCTGACGAGTCACCCCAATTCTGGTGGATGACCATGAACCGCTCTGCCGCAGAGGCCAAAGTCAGGAGGACGTCCTGGAGATCTCCACTCCACGTCCGATGAGGCCACAGGAGCTGAGCAGAGCCAGAGGGAGGAGGCAGGAGTAGACGTGGAGCCAAGGGAGGAGGCAGGAGTAGACGTGGAGCCAAGGGAGGAGTCAGGAGCCAATGAGGAACCGGCAGAGGTTGAGGGAGCCAGAACCTTGGCGATGGTGACCAAAGACGACAGAGGAGACAAAGAGGCGACGGCAGCTGAACCAGGCGACGTGGAGGCGACGGCAGCCGAACCAGGAACCTCAGGAGCAGAGGGCTCAGCAAAAGACCCAACAGGAAGCAGAGCTGGAGGGCCCACAGGAACCAGGGCAGGAGGGCCCACAGGAACCAGGGCAGGAGGGCCCACAGGAACCAGAGCAGGAACTGAAGCATGAGGACCAGAATCAATGGGGTGGGGAGGGTGGGCCCCAGAAACCCCCAGCGCCGCCATCTCTGAAGAACACCCTGATGAAAAAAGTCCCTTCAGGACAGCCAGCTCGCGCTGCATCCTCTCCACCACTCTCAGGATACCAGCCTGAGGAGTGCAGTCAGACTCAGAGCCACCACATGAAAAAAATTCTCCATGATCCCTCCTGGTGCAGGAACCAAAAATAAAAAATGAAAATTCACCTCAGTCTGCTGGGGTTCAGGTGTGGTCAGATCCTTCTGTTACGGTTGAGCTTAGTTGGTTTGAACCCCAGGATGCAAGACTGAGTGAGGGTGGCAAAAAAGGTTTATTAAAGCAACAAAAACAAAAGCGCTGACGTGGCAGCAAACAAGATTCTTGGCTTGGCATGAGACAACCAGTAAACAGAGAACAAGGATCTGACAAAGACTGAGGACAAAGGACAGAAYATAAAAGAAGAACCAATGAGGTAAAACAAGAAACACCTGGGGAAGAAACATGAGGATCAGGTGTGAGTGGGCGGGGCTAGAGCAAAGGCAGACAGGAGGAAGAAAACAGGAGGAAAAGACAGAAAACTAAGAATAAATCATAAGCACAGACACAAATCATGACAATTTGAAGAACTAATTGACCTGCCGTAGGTGCATGTTTATTTTGTGTTTTTTATGACAAAAATAATATTTAAAAACACATCTATACAAATGATGAAAGTATTAGAATTACAACCTCTAAAAATTTGTAATTTTTATATCGCCATATTTTTATTTAAAACATATTCTTTTCTCTCACTTCGTCCGCCATTACTAGCTTAAAGAAAATCTCCGGTCGGGCCACAA